AGTCGATAATTAATTTTGAAATCTGTTTATTTAGGTATTTAGTAAAAGTTTAAATTAAAATAGTATCATTATTCTAGACCACAGTAAAATCATTCTATAGTTGTGTCAGATATCAATTACTTTAAATAAATAAAATTCTAATGGCAACAGTATTGAATTTCTTTATAAAAGGAACATAAGTAGAAGTAGTTTTATACTATGATATTTACTGCACTGAAGCAAATACAAATTTTAAAAATATTTAGTGTCTTTTTATCATACGAATTAAGCAAAAACAATTTTTGTGTTGTTTATGTTATTATTGTGTTTGAACACAAAACACTCAATTGTTGTGTCGCGAACGCAGTGTCCCATTGGCCGTCATAAATCATATCTAAATAGACGTCACACATAATTAATCTTGAAAGAGAGATATTAACGCATTTATTGTTGGGACGGTAGTTAAACCGAAACGTTTGCTGCTATCAGCAATTATTGTCATCAAGTCATTCGGTCTTGTTTGAACATTTCTTTGTTATTAATACATTAAGTAATTACCTCTGCTGTTATTAGCTTCATATTTGTTTTATATTCGCATAAAATATATAAATATATTTTTATTTTTATTAAATTACAAGGTATCAATACCATGTGTTTAAAATAAATTAAAACTTCCATGTAAAAGTTTCTGCAGGAAGACATACGAATGAAATTTCACCCTTTCTCATGTCCATGACCTTCAGTGACCTTCAGTGACCTTCAGTTACCACTAGTCATTAAAATCGTCTGGAAAAGAGCTCGTGGCGGGTAAATCGTAGGTGTTTAAAAATGCATGATTCTGCTTTAAAAAAAAGTCAAAGTGACCTTATAACCTCCTAACCACCGTCAGTTGGAAGAAAATTTTGTTTATCACATAATGGCCCTTCAAGAACCAAACAGTTTTCGTTTCAAACGTTCCTCCCTATCTCAAAAATTGCAGAAGTTACTTAGGTGGCTTGTCTTACGCGTGACTCATCATGCATATTACGTATATTACTATATCATACAATTTATTTTAAGTATTTAATGCATTTGGCGGCTCTTATTTCGAAGGTTGAAACTGTTATTGCGATACGTACCTACGTATCTAAATTAGTGATCATAAGTATTATCACATTTATCGAATATAAGATAAATGTAATGAGGCATTACGAAATTGTGGAAGGTATGAAATGAACATAGTCTAGGAAATATTAATAATACAAGAACAACATTTACGATAATGTAAAGTAGCAGAAATGGTTCAAGATATACACTGCTCAAAACATTTAGAGGTTCGTTATTGTGGACGTAGGTACTTATTACGTTAACCGAATGACGAAAGGAAAACAACTGATACAAGTTTAATAAATTCACCTTTTTATCCGTAGGATACTAATACCTAAGTAGTTGTTTTTTAAACATTTAGCAGGAATTAACGCTATAATAATAGGTCCAATGGCTACAATATAGATCCTGTAATTCTTGTGAGCAGCGTATACATTTTATTAGGACCAGATGTCCTAATACTCATGAATGGCAATGTTATATCCGAACAATGTTATAACAACCTAACGAGGTTCACGTTCGTCACGTGCTTAATCAAATGTCCGAGCGGCTGGGAGCCGGCCCCATTGTGGACATAACATCACCAATACGACGCAAAATGTAGAAGGACGCTCGGAAAACTACATTACATTTTTGTCTTGTTATTACGCGTTTACGTGTGTTACTGAAAATTCAGTATAGGCCAGAAAAAAAGCATGAAAATCTACCATAAGCAGCTCTGAAAATGCATGCAAATAAATTACTTTTTATAATTTTTCTGACTTTCTAGACTTTTTTTTAAATATTGTATACATACACATAAAATAACTGGAAAAGAAACCACAAACACCACCATGGGGATTTTACTCACCTCGACCGAAGTGTCCTCTGGTGGACCGGACCTGTGTGTCGCTTAAACTCGGAAAATGGACTTGAACCCCATGATGATGTTTTTTAGAATTTTTGTTTCTTTTTCAGTTATTTTATTTACATGTACCCTAAACAAAACTTGAAATCAAAAAATTATAAAAATAATGGTTTCTAATATCCATTTTTAGCGCTACGTATAACTGTCCTGTTGAATTCTTATTATTCGAGTAAACCCATGTTTCATCTTTAATTTGGTATTAACAAAAATGCAAAAATAATAATAATTAAATTATACTTTAAATTTTAAAATAAGAAGTGCAAAGGGATCAATTCCTGATCACCTAAACCTAAATCATGTATCTGTGTCTTACTTTGAGGTATCAAATTTTACGTACGAATTTCAGAACAGTTAATGTTTTGGGAAAGACTTTTATCATAGTGAACTTATTATATGGCGTCTACATACTAAACTGATCAGGAATTGGATTCTAATCAGAAACTAGGTCCGTAACGGTAGGTGGAGAGACACAAACATTTCTCGAACTCCGGTCTTCGCTATTCTTATGAGAATGCAGCTCGAAATATACAATTCTTATCTTTTCAGGACGACACAATGAACATTGGTACGTGTTATGTAAAGCAGCACTGAAAATAGATAGAAACCAGGCTTACGTAAAAGTGAACTTTTCAGAACTCGGAGAAAACGCGCCACTGTAGTAATTCAATCATCCGGACGTGTCCTATCTGTCGAACAATTTGCATTATACAATGACAGGCAAAAAAACCGCTGAATATTATAAGGAGTGCATAAGGAGCAATTTTTGTGTTTTTTGTGTAACAGGGAAATCCCAATTACCCCGTAATTAATCTTTTTTTTCCGTCGCTAACTGGTGCGAAGAACTTAATCACAACGATCTCGTCGTATTAAAGAAAAGAAACTATTATTTTTTGTAGCTGGTAAATTAGGTTCTTGTTGAGAAGCACGTTGCATATGTAATTATACATTTAACTTGAACAGGCTGATATCATCCGCGTTATTGATTTTAAATAAACATGATATATAATTGACTTTGATATTTCTGAGAACAGTTGAATATTTAACATTTCTTTTCATTTAAAAATTATAAAAATGGCGAAATGTAAATTCTATCAGTTAAGCCTTCTTAAAATACAGAGATTTGGTATAACAAAGCTTTTAACTTTGAAGAATTTTATTTTTCAAGAATAATTTCCTTTGTTTAACTGATACGTCTAACGCAACCCACACATAGATGCTGGTATTTCACTTCATGTATATTGCGTTGAGGGAGGTCGAAAATTTTAAAAATAGCGTATCCAATTCCGAAACACTTCAATCGTGAAGCAATACCTCCCACATCGATTTCTAGCAACGCCAACATAAAGTTTCTTCTTGTTAGTGTGCTCTTTAACTACAGTAAGAAATGGATTCGGTTAAATGTCTGTTAAAATCGTTAGTCTTCTTAAAACTTGTTTTTGAATATACGAAGTGACTTAACCCTTAACTGGTTAAGTGGAAATCTTATTATCTATTACACTAAATCCTCTTACAACACGTTTTTGATATAACCCAATGCAAAAATTGCGACAACGCCCCTATAACACGATATTGTTATAACACGGTTTCCATATAGCATGAGAATAAAATTGGACAACCTTTATATAGCCCGACTGTTTCCTTCACACTGCTTTGGTAGACATAAATAGGGAATCCCCTTGTATACATAACAAGAAGTTTCGCTTAACACGATTTCGATGCAACACGGAACGAATTAACCGTGTTATGGAAGGGTTGAGTGTACTTATTACACAACTAGTTGCTTTTCATTGTCATAGAAAAAATCATAGACATAATCAAGCATCTCTTTAGGTACCTAACTTTTGAATAGAAATAAAATATTCTAAAGATATTTATCGAGTTCCTTAGACCTCACCTCACCAGTTAAGGGCTAAGAAAAGGATCAAACTCACTTTGTAGTACATGTTGGACTTGAAATGATTCAAGTGAAAAGTAAAATGAAAATTCTGTCTATTTTCATTAAAATTATTGTACATTACACACCACACTTTATATAGAGCAATGATTTACGAAAGAAAGAAATTGTCTGTTAATTTATAAGCTTCTGTTAATCGAACACGTTTTATTCTAATGAACATTAGAGGTTCCTAAATGGTTTGACCCCGTGTTCAACCCTCGTGACACTATCCGCGTCTATTTGACCCAAATAGGCAAAAATTGACAAACAAATTATCTAGATTTAAACCAATATATTCCCATAATTGCAGCTTATGGTGTCCAATGTCTCTATACATTGCATGTTACTCAATTAAATTGCGCAAGGTTCAAATCACTTAGCACGTAAAATACCACAGAACATCATTATAACCTAAACATAAAAAGGATAATCAAGAACCGTCTTCACAAATCCTCAAGCGATCTATTGTAAGACACGATTCCATCCAATTATCCACTGTGCCCGTGCAAATGCCTATCCATACACGGTCGCATAAGCGTCCTATGCAAATATCGTAAGTCACCAACAAAACAAATTAGCTGGACCACCTCCAGTCATTGGAATTCTTATTATTGGCCAACAAACAACGCGAAATAATTCAGATCGATAGACATTACCAAAAAGACGTTGTCTCATTGGAGCTATCGTCCTCGTGCTATCTTTTACAATTATAATAATTTACCTAATATCTGTATTGACAAATTGTAAAGTATATGAGAGACACGTATAAAAGAAAATTATTGGTTAAATTGATCACATCCACAAGTCTATCGCGTGACTTAGACAGCAAAGGAAGCACACCGAGTCAGATTGAGACAGAGCGATAGCGCGATCCGTTCAGTTTGTAGATACATACCCGGTAACTTACGATCTTAGCACGGTACACGAATCTCTCCCAGCCAAACGTGACCTGTTACGTGTCACCGGTAGCCCAGGAACAACGTACCGATATAATTACCCCCGTCCATTAATTAACCCGCGCACCTGTACACGCACAATAGGGTTATATTCACGATACCCAGGCCTAATCACGTTGATCGTTTTGCGTTCCAGGAGCCGAGGAACCGTCGCTCGCAGCAGCAACACGACGAGACGGGAGACGGTGGTCCCGGAAGGTGGTATCTTTTCATGAGAAGCACAACCGACCTTCCATCGTACGTGGGAATAACGACAAGAGGTCGGCCTTGAGGTGCGGATAGGAGAGGAGAGTGTGCGGTGGTGGTCGTGGTCGTCGTCGTCGTGCAAGCCGCAACACGGGATCAGGGATAGAGAGAGATTTATTCGAGTTTCACAACCTCTCTCGATCAGCAGCAGCAGCAGCAGCAGCAGCAGCGGCTCTGGTGGCGGTCGTGACCTCGATAGAGCTCATCCACCTGGTCGGATAACTCCGCTGGAGCGGCGGCCAGGACACCGAAAGGTCGAGAGAGTCTCCTTGCAACACAAGAGCCGTGTGTTGTATTATCCGTCGTGATATCGTGCGCGAATCCCCCTTCCATATCGGCCAGACACGCGCCGGCTACCGGAAGAGTCGTCGTTGCACGATGTAGCGGTCCCACAGACGGCACCCATGATTTTTCGTCGATCGTCTCGCTGGGAACGGGACTCTTGAACGAAGAAAGACATACTTCGGAGAATATTTTTGCGACAGAACGATGAAGACGATGGGCGATGTGGTCGCAGATCCCGTCGACGAGGAGAACGGCACATCAGCCGGGGCCCAGAACCCAACTGTCAGCAAGGAATTCGGGCAGAGGACACTGAGGTCCTTGAAGAGGGGCCTGGGCAGGCTGTGGAGGAGGCACAGGGGTAACGCCTCCATCACCGAGTACGACCCCAGCTATAAGGTCGCTTATCTTGGGAACGTTCTCACTGGATGGGCCAAGGGTACGTGAATCGAGGTTTATCTGATTTTCTTTTGTCTTTACCTGCGGCGCGCACAGAGATAGAGAGAGAGAGAGAGAGAGAGAGAGACTGGTCATTAAGTTTCCTACGCGCTTCTCGTGCTAGCCGCGCGTTGATTAGCTACTCACTTACCGCGCGAGCACTAGCGCGCGCTTGGATCCTAATTGATGACATTCACTTTTCAAAGTGATCGCAAATTTTCTGCTTTTACTGTTTCATCAAACGGGTGGGTGGGTGGGTGAACTCTTTCGTTGAACGGGGAGTTGCTTTTCGTCGCGGAAATGAAGTCGCGGTTAGCGAAACCTTGTAATTTTAGGGGAAATGAAAGGCTGCGCGATGACAGTGATACGGAGTAATGAAAACTTGCAGTTCCGTGGTAATTAGTTACCGCTGTTTGAGGACACTCTGTTAATTTGTTTTGGTAAACGTGTCATTTGTACGATTTTATATGGCATGTACACCCACGAGCAAACTCGGTTTCCACTAGGGGAAAAGGTGACATAGGAGAAGGGCCTCTTACTAGTTGATCTCGGGAGTAATTAAAATTTATGCCAAATTAACATTCATTTTAACATTTATTTCGGTACTTGAAATAAATTTACCAAGTGTTAGGAGGCCCTTCTCCTACTTCACTTTTTCCCCTAACGGAAGCCGAGTTTGCTCGTTGGTGTATATGTACACTGCCGGCCAAAAGTTTGGGTACGTCTACTGCATTTGTATTCCACACACTCAAATACAAATTGTAGGGTTTAATGTTTCGCCATGATCCTTGGACATTCTTTGTATAATTTTAATGGTATACAAATGAGCCTGTAGCCATCCTTTTTTGTGATACTTTGATTTTTTTTCTCTGTGCCTTGACAACTAGGACTGCTGATTTCTTGCCATGTATATTTGAACTTAACAGAATCATGCAATCTGCTCAGAAATCAACAATTCGGTTCGTAGAACGTCACAAACTAATAAACAATGACAAAGCTGAACATCTCAATCATAGAAATGTGATATCATAAACTGTATTAGCTGCCATAAAAGTTTATTATCAGCAGTTGATGGAAAGCTGTGTATTTTTATAGCAACAAAACTATACAAAGAATGTCCAAGGATTAGGACATGGCGAAATATTAAACCCGACAGTTTGTATTTGGGTGTGGAATAAAAATATCGTAGGTGTACGCAAACTTTTGGTAGATAGTGTACGTATCATAGAGGTCCGCGTGATTTCGTACTTTATGCACGGATGTATTTTGTAAAATAAGTGGTAACCCTCTAGTACCGAAGTGGAGTTTCGGAGAATTCACTGTTTCTGCTTTTCTTATTCCCCTCTGTGCTGCAGTTTCATCAATTTAAGTTAATCTCTTACCACCTGTTGTAATATACAGGATAAGTCACTTAAATCGATTCCCCCGAATATCTTCGAAACCGTTGATGATACCGAAAAACATTTCGAATAAAAGTCAAATGGTATCAGGGAAGAAATAGTTTGAGTAGTTTTTTATGTAGGTATGCGCGTAGAGGACATATGTATGTCAAATTTGTTTTCTTTAGTGGAATCATATATTTTTTAATGCATTGCAGCTCGCCATTCCCTATAAAAAAGTAATAAGCTATTTATACCAAAAAGCCATTAGTTTAGGAGATATTTTAATTTCAAAATTATTAAGTATTATACGATGTTTACTTTCTTGAAACTGATGTTAAAAAGTACGGTTCTTTGATGTCGTGTGTAGTATCAAGGGCAATGTGTCTTTCGCAAATAGGTTTGAAACTTTTAATGGTCACTGACTATTGTACTATAATCATAGTATCTATACAACATCTGCAAACAGGTGCCGCGCCATTTTCATTTTTTTTTTCGACTGAATACACCCAGTAACCTGAAGTGAGCAGTAATTAATTTTTTTGCATTTGAAATTCATAATTCAGGCATTACGGGGGTAAATGTAAGAAATTAGTATTATGCACCTCTTTACTCTGTGACATTTATGAAGAAAATGTATGCTTGAAGTGGAGCAGTGAAAAGAATTGTCAAGGATCTTGTATGTTTATATACACATAACCTAAAAGTTCAGATGTCTCGTAGATTCACCTCGGACTTCACATCCCGAATATGGCAACTTGGTAGTAAAGAATTAAATTCATAGACATATTATACGTCTATCTGCAAATTACGATGTTTATATTTTTTATGAACGATGTGAACGTATAGTTGTGACGATAAAATTCTGACGTCATTACTGAATGTCAGGTACTTACAGTGTAATATTGAGGAAACGAAGTGTAGTTGGAGAACTCTGACGCAGAATGCAAACACTTGACAATTAATTACTGCTGGTGCCAGAGGCGCTTCGCCATTAATGTCTCATTTACTGCGATGGTTTATCAAAAGAATTGCAACATTAATTTCCTTCAGTTTTAATACAAACTTTTATGTATGAATAAGTATCCGAAGAACTTTTTATCCGTCGAGAGTAAATTTATTCACGTGTTTATTCCACTGAACATTTCGATTCGTATTAATACTCAAATTATTGAAAAATTGTCTCAAGTTTAAATTAACCGATAACTATTCATATATTTCGACGATTACCAGTCCCATGCAAATTCGAGTGTCCCGTAAACAAATCGTACATTTACCTCTTCCATACACAATTTATCATTCGAAATATATCTTTCGTGCGTGCATCAGTATACACGGCAAAATCACGAATCCACTAAATCTGTTTACTTTATTCATTCAAATTTCGTGAGATTATCATAAACATATCGTCGCGATCCGTTAGTACCCGACGATTCCAGCCGAGCGAAAGTGAACTTTCATAGAAGTTTCCGTCGGTCACTCAGGGAACATAATCAAATTCACCACGGTTAATTTAATGCGTGTCCGTAACGAAACAAAAAGAAGAAGAAGCAGTTACGATGATTAGCAGAGAACAAGCGCCTCCGAGTGGTTTACGTGCTGCAGAGAACGTTTCCTGGTATCTTTAATTATTACGTAGGACGGAGGAAGTTCTCCGTGGTGGCACGAGCGGATAATTAAGAGTTTCGTTGATAAACAGCAATTAATGATGGTTCAAGAGGTAAATATGCGTGAGCGCGCGTATTTCCAATCGCGGGGACACATGAATGACCAGCCGGAAGTGCGCAATACTTGTTGCAGTTGGTCGGCCGAGTAAGGTTAACTAGTCCAATCGGCCATTCGATTCATTGGCATCGGCTTAGGTCGCCCTAAAAAGAGAGAATGTTTTGAATACGAATTTTATCGTCAGTTTAACCTTCTGAAGCTGGACATACGAAAGGCGAACCTGGGTCATTTTTTACCCATCCTGACATTTTGAATTAACATTTCATAAAAAGTTTAAGCCTGTGTTTCAGCGTGATCTACGCTCTTTATCCAAGGATTAAAGAAGATGAAGGATCACTTGTTAGTGCATCTAATATAAAACAAGCATGCAAGTACAGTAGGACTCAATTTATGTGAACAGGTTGGGGTTTAAGACGGTTAATATAATGGAAGTTCACCGATTCTCCCTTCTAACATTCTTCATTCGTTGAGATAATAAAAATTGATGTTCATATAAGTGGACTCAATCATCTGTTCGTATATACACTACCACCCATAAGTATGTGGAGACTCAGTCTGTGTGAAGAAAATGTGATGTTTCGTAAAAAATATATATTTTAGGCCACATTTATTACTTCACAGCAGCATAAGTCTAGTCCATCGAGCTTTAATATCCCCTAAACAATATTCATTTCAGACTTTTAGCAATTTCGTATTGCTTTATAAGGCAGGGATAAGATAAGTGTTCATGAATATTAGGACACCTGCTGCAGGTATTCGAAAAAATGTCATGTTTCATAAAAATGACATATTTTACTCTACTTTCGTTACTTCTTAGTAACATAAGTATAGGGTATTGAGCTATAATATTTCTTATATAATATTTATTCTAACGCTTTTTCAAGTCGATAAGTCCTTAATACTTATGAACTGGAGTGTACCTATGACTTGTCTTGGGTCATTTTGGGGCGTTTATAGGCTATAACGCAATTAGATCGATAGGGTTCATCGAGGGAGTAATAATTCACCGATATCTTGTGAAGTAATTATTTTTCATTTCGTAGTTCAATAATATAAACATTTAATACAGCGGATTTAAAGATTTGATAATTGTAGGATCTTTTATGCTATTAACACTAGGTTTACGGGCACTTATCGTGTAGGTATCTCCACGGCACGCATCAACGAACCCGCAGATTTTCTTTAAAAAACAACTTATTTTATATAATACACAATTTATGATCTCTGAAATTAATGCATACCTATAGAGATAGGTATACCACATAGAGAATTTCGAGGTTAGAAAGCATTCGAAATGCGTCAAAATGACGCGTCCCGTAAACCTAGTGTTAAGAAAGGAATCCTGTTTTTTGGCTAAAACCATAGCAAAATTTAGAAATTTTTTAAAAAGAAACTACTAATTCGATTTATCTGAAATTTGGACCACGTTTTTATTCGTCTTTAAAGAAGTTACTGTTTGTTTTTAAATTAATTTTGAATAATAAATATAGAAGCTATGCATGACCGACTATCACGCCAAAATTCGTCGCCCGCTGGTGTGCATATTTACCTTCCAGGTAATCTGAAACGGAAAAATAAAACTGCGTTTTACTGCATATACACACGTAGCTTCAGTTTGACGAACCAGAATAAAAAAAATTTATTGAAGAGGTGGTGAGTTATCAAATCCAAACTTTCATTTTTGCTAAAACAATGCGTCAATTTTTTTGTGTAAAAAAAGATATATAACTGGTTCGTCAAATGGTAAAGTAATGTTTGCTGAATATACAGACCAAATTTGAAGGTAATCAGTTCAGTGGTTACAGAAATATTATGCACACCACCCGCAAAAAAGCTGTTTCGGGGAAATAGCGTTTAAAGTTTTAGCCCGTTATAAGTTCTATACATACCTACCTGC